AACTGTTTCATTGCTATTTTATCTTTTTTTCTCATTAAAATGAATAAAATAAATAAATAAATAAAATGCACACGTTGCCAGTATGGGTTCCGTGGAGGGCCATGTTTTTGCATTAGAGACAAGAAAGGAAATAATGGACTCTCTCTTTTTAAGAAAAATGAAGGCATCCTTTCTGTAATAAGAATAATTTTTCTTCAGAGCGTCTCTGAGTTGGAGGTTGGTCACCAGCCATGTCAGCAAACAAAGCGAGTCTGCACTGGTCTTCAGCTTCACCTTGGGAGCGGCCTGGCCGGTCCTAGCTCAGGGAGTGCAGGTTCCTGGGGGACACTGGAAACAGCCCCAGGGAAGGGCAGGCAGGTATTTCAGGAGTTTTGGTGGGGAAGGATTGCAGGAGGAGAACACAGAGGACGGATTTCCAGGAAAGAAGTCACAAGCCATTAACATCTCGCTTACCCACCTTTGTCCGGGGTTATATCGCAGACAGGTGGCAGAGTGCTCAGTGACAGAGGACAGCTGAAGACTGGAAACCAGGCCGAGAGGAAGCTGCTCATGGTGACTCCTGAGTGTGAACACGTCCCTGGAAGGGGCTCCCTCCCTCAGCCCCGCCCCAGCTTCTGTCAGGGGACCCCTTTGGGGAGCCCCCACAGGAAGCGTGGGTGTGGCTGACGGTTTGTGGGGCTAAGGCAGGCCAGCAGCACGCAGAGGCCCCACACAGCACTCTCATTTCCTGTGGAAGGCTTATTCCCCGGGCAGTAATGCCCCGAGCTTCTGAGGACCGAGCCTGTCCTGTTCTCCCGGCCACAGGACCAGGTTTCAGTGGCCGTGATGTGACTGAGCTAAATGAACGAGCAAGGTTATCGCCTTCCTTTCCATCTCAGCATGGCCGACAGGAGCAGGCGAGTTCTGTCTCAAGCCATGCTCTCCATAGGCCAACTTCCTGAAGGCCTGGTGAACTCACTTAGAGACCGTCTTCCTTTCTGTGTAGTTCTAGTTTTGACAGTCTCACTAGGAACACTGCTAAACAAAGGTGAGCTGTCTGTGCTAATATTTTGAGTCTTTTAAAATTTTTTATTTATTATTTATTTGGTACAGGGTCTCACTGCACAGCTCAGCCTCGTAGTGATCTTTCTGTCTCAGCCTCCCCGGTGCTGGGATTGTAGGTGTGCACCACCAGGCCTAGTTTCGGTTCCCGGGGTGGCGGCCTGGCATGTGGTGCTAGGGATGGAACCTGGGTCCTTGTGCTTGCGGGGGAGGCACTTAGACTGCTGAGCTATGTCCCCCGCCCTTGGGTCTTCATCGTTACTGTTTGTATGAGCACCCAGGCTACGTGAGGCAGCGCATGCCTGGATCTTCAGCCTTCTCGATGACTGCGAAACCCGACTCTGCCATTTCTCCTTTTACCCAGAGCTCATGGCTGAGCAAAAGTGGGTGCACAGTTCAGTGTGCGGGCCCTTGTGCATCTGGTTCCTTCGGAGGCTGCTTTGGGATAATCGCTCATGAAGTATCTTTAGTGGGTGAAGGACATCTGTGGGTAATATCGGGTTGCTTCTCATGGTCTGGTGGGCAGAAATCAGAAGAGAGTCTGTTGGTTGGCCACAGGCATTGGCAGAGTTTCTGCTGCAGTCAAGCTGCCTTCTCCAGTGATCATCAGACGTTAGTATTTCGGAGGGAAGGAGGGAGCCAGCCCTGTGTGGTGGTAACGGGGCCTCTTAGTGAGCTTGGGTGTACGTGCAGAACGAAACATGTCACCAGGCTGGGTGACAGCGCGTGCCTGTAATCCCAGCTACGTGGGAGGCTGAGGCAAGAGGAGCATAAGTTCAAGGCTAGCCTGGACAGTTTAATGAGAACCTGTCAAAGGAGGGGGTGAGGAGAGAGGAAAAGACAGGCTGGCTATGGGGGAGGTAGCTCAGTGGCTGAGTAGAGAGTCCCTGGGTGCCCTGCACAATACTTCACAAAAGAAAAAAAGGAAATAAAGAAAAAAACAAACAAACCAACAGACAAAAAACCCCAGAAAGGCTAGGTAGATAGCCAGGCAGTCTAAGTGCCTGTCTGACAAGCGCAAGAACCCAGATTTGATCCCCGGTACCACATGCTGCACCAGGCACTGAAATGAGTGTGGTGGCACATACCTGTACTCCCAGGGCTAGGGAGGCTGAGACAGGAGGATCATGAGTCTGAGCTGCGTCGTGAGACCTTGTACCAAATAAATAAATAAATAAATAAGAAACAGCAACATTTCTGAGAAGAAGTATAAACTGCTACTTGGTTGTTGCTTGCATGTTGTTAGGTTGTATGTGGTGTACGTGGTGTGTGTGTGTGTGTGTGTGTGTGTGTGTGTAGGGAGAGGAGAAAGAGAGGGTCAGGCTCCACAGCCATCAGGTGGAAAGTTGGCTCTGGCCTTGCGGTGCCTGCTCTGCTCTCCTTGACACGAGGGTGTGGGGGATTGTCAGAGATCACCTGGGTTCATGCACATAGTCCTGAGAAGTGCATAGCTCACTTCTGTTCATGTATGCAGTTGTTAGCACATATCAGGAGATTTTCCTTTGAAAAAAGTAAGTAATAAGCCTAAAATCCTCAGCCCTCAGTGGTTTGCTTTTGCTCTTCTTATGGGGGAGATATTTAAATGTGGATGACTCTCATTCTTTTTTTTACCCCTTTGATGGAATGAAAAATGGGTTGTGCCGCCTCTGTCTGGAGGAAGCTGCTGGAGTCCTACTGAGGAGGACACAGGCTTCGAGCCTGACAGGACAGGCGCAGATCCTGGCTCTGGCACTTCCATTTCCTGGGTCTGAGCCCCGAGGTCTTCCTCTGGATGCTGTGAAGGTGCCGTGGAAGCTGAAAGGGGTTGCCCAGCATTCATGGCGTGCACGCACGCACGCGCACACACACACACACACACACGCACACACACCTCGTGGCCGTAGCAACTTTTCACGCTGGCCCAGAATCACAGTTAGGTGGGCACCTGGGTCTGCTCATCAGGGTTTGTTGTTTCTCTCTATTTTAAATTCAAGGGCTTTGACCTTTTGGTCACTGATTTATTTTTGATGTGCCTGTTATGGACAGTCACAGCAGGCCACGGGCGGTGCCCCTTGTGTCAGAATCCTGAGCTTGCCTCTTGTCACAGGACAAAGTTAATGTTAGTGAATTCACAGGGCCGGCGAGAAATGTGACCCCCGCAGAATCTGTCACATGGCATCGGGAAGCTATTCTCAGCAAATGGGGTGCGGTGTTTATGGGCAGTCACGACACACTCAGCTGTGTGAAGAAGGTGACACAAAGGGGTCCTGTGTTTGTCTTCCAAGGACAGAGTCTTCTGGGGGAAGCAGATGTGGTGGAGACATGATACAGGAGCAACAATAAACACCATGATTCAGCTTACCATAGCGAAATGTGCTCTGGCCTGGAGCATCCTGGGCTCACGTGGCTGGGTGGAACAAGAAGCAAGTAAACGCACACTTGAATCATGATTCAGAAATGGTAAATAGAGCCGGGCAAGGTAGCATGTGCCATTGCATCTGTAATCCCAACACTTGGAAGGTCGAGGAGGAGGATCGTTGTGAGTTCAAGGCCAGCCTGGACTACATAGTGAATTCAAGCCCAGCCTTTATTACATAGTGAGAGTGTCTCAGTAAAAACAACAAACAAACCAAAACAAAAAGCCGAAACAAGAAGAATCAAGATACATCACATATAGGTTCAAATTCCTGTGACAGATGCGATCACTATGTATATCTAAAATGTATTAATAGGATGAAGAAAATGGTAATAGAATGACACCTAGGGAGTGTGAGGAGCAGTAACGGGGCAGGCCTGAGTTGGGTGGTGGTGTGGGCTCCAGAGGAGGTGATCCTTGAGTTGTTGGCTGATGTGAGTGATGCGGGAGAAGGCAGAACATTGTCTTGTAAGGTGCCCACGGGTGAGGGAGCCAGCATTTGTTCCATGTTCCCATAGCTGGTGCTTAGGGTTATGGGATGGGGGTGGAGGAGCAGGGGTCAAGTCATTCACAACCTTCTGTACCATGCTAAGTGTGGGTGTTAGGTCCTGGCAACCAACGGGCAAGAGCTGACCGTACTACGTGGTTTCAGAAGGGTCACACATTGAACTGCACTCATCAGAGTGAGAGAGAAGAGCCCGGGTAACATCTGAGAAGAAGGAGTGCATAGTGAATGGCTGAGTAATGGAAATAGACGGTACTAACCACGAGTGTTGTAGGGGTTCAGGGCAAGTGGACGCCTTGGCGTGAGGCCGTATGGCAGAAGAACTGAGTGGTAGCTGATGGCTGGGCCATGTAATGTGGTCCATAAGCTGGCCCTTGAGTGGCAGGAGGACTCATACAGAAGAGAACAGGACACAGTGCCAGGCTGTGTCAATGAGTGTGAGATGACCAAGGAGACACATCTAACTGGAAGAGAAGACTAGATAAGACCATTTCATATGCCAGAGTTGGAAGACTTTGAAATGCTGGGCTGAGGAGTTTGAACTTGTTTACCAGTGGAGAAGCCATTGGAGATTCTTGCATAGATATTTTGAGATTGTCAGTTTGTTTTAGGATTGTGCTCATCTTCATCTTAGATGGAGGAAGATGTGTCTGGGAAGTCCTGTTCTACATGTAATGGAGAGGTCAGAGAGACACATCCATCACTCTTGGATTGGAAATACACTTTGACTTTGGGAGGACTGTGGTGTAGTACAGGGCTGGAGACAGAGGAGGCTGAGGCAGTCTGGAGTAATGGGGTAGAGAGAGGTGGGAGAGCCTGGCTGCCCCTGGAGCCTTCTAGAAGTGTCAAGAACAGCGTGTGTCATCAGTATCTCGTGTCTCCTGTTGGGCATGTGGTCCTCTGCGTTCCTGTTAGCACCTCTCTCCAGGCGCTCACTATGAATTGGTCAGAACTGTCCCTGGAATCCAGGCATATTTGTTGGGTCTGGAGTAGGACTTAGATGAGAGCTCGGTCCTGACCATGTTCACAGCACAAATCAAGTTTTCCTTTTCTCTTCAGGTGGAGCTTGCGGAAATCTGTGCCAAGAGTGAGCGTTACATTGGTACTGAAGGAGGAGGGATGGACCAGTCCATCTCATTTCTTGCGGAAGAAGGAACCGTAGGTGGCATAGAGCTGTGTGCAGATCAGAGTTACGGGCAGTTCTCATGGGGAGGAGTGCGCGGGGCCCCTGCTTGCTTGGCTAGAAGCGCTCTTGGAGGATGCTATTTCCCAGAGCTGCCACCATTTACTCGCTTTCACACTGATCACTTTGATGTTATGCTTCTGGATTTACGCTTCGTCTACTTTTCCTCCTGGCCAGTTCTTTTTCTCATGTCTTCATTGTTAAGGTTTCTCTGTTCCCTGGTTCTAGGGACCTCCTTTCCTGCTCCAATCCTCAATCACTTCATCTCGTGGCATTTTCATGCTGTCTCGTTGGTTTCAAACCCAAATGTTAGTCCTCTGGCCATGTATATTCATAACCCTCTTTTTATAATTTACTCTCTGGTATCATTTTTCTCTGTCAACATTTTTGGGGTTTCAGTGGTGGAGAAAAGAATGTTGACAGTGAGCCAGCAGTGGATTCTTTTGCTGGGTACCAGTTCCCCTTGGCCACCAGCCCCTCTGGGCCGAGCAGAGGTTTTGGTTGGTGCCCATAAACTGCCCAATTCCAAAGTAGAAACAGACATTTCTTTAAGATCTTTTCTTAGCTCTTCATCGCATTCCTCCAGATTGGCTATTTTCCCAGATCACCTGGACTCTTTCTTATTAGGCGTATTTGTCATTGATTCCCCTGAGCCAAAGACATGAGGCCTGAGGGAATGTGGTTTAATACTAAGAAAATTCTCTGGGCATTTGGACAAGACTTGACACATAGACGTGATGGCAAGAGTCCCGACAGCCGTGTAAGCTGGGGTGTGTGTGTGGGGATTCTGAACTGCGCCCACACTCTTCGGACCTGCACAGATCTCTGTCGTTGACCCCGGGTCACCTCGGCAGCCCAGTCTCTTTCATCTTCCTCTCCAGATGCCCAGCACTAGCCTCATTTCCACACTGAAACCTCTACTAACGCCCTACGTTGTTTCCTGTGGATGTGCGTATGCTCTTCCTTCTTCTTGACACCTTATCTGGGAGAAGAAAGTCCGGTCTGCCCTGTTCTTGCCCATCCCTTAGGGCTCCAGCCAGGTTTCCCCTCCAAGGAGACCTTGCCAGGCTGCACCTGAGTGGGCCTTCAGTTCAGTTTCTGCTCAGCACCCATCCAGTTCTTGCCCTGCACCACTTACAGCTTGGGGATGGAGTTGTCTGTGTACTGCCTTTCTCACTAGATTGCAGGCTGGGTGAGGGCAGGACACTGTGTGCCTGGGTGTGAGTCTGTTTCCAGGGCCTGGAAGCCACATGTAATATATAAATGAATGAATGCTTTTTTTTTTTTTTTTTTTTTTTGGCGGAACAGGGGATTGAACTCAGGCCCTTGCTCTTGCCAGGCAAGCACGTATTCTACTGAGCCATCTCCCTGGCCCCTGCATTTAAAAAAAGTTTTTTTAATTTAAACAATATGAAATAAAACAGGCTATTAAAAAAGATACAGAATTTCAAAACAAGATGATAGGAAATGGTTGTTATAGTGCATACCGTTATCTTCAAAGTAATTGGTCCATTTACCAGACACAGGCACGCAAAATTGATTCAAAAAAATTAAGCATCAACCGTTCCTTTTGCTAAACCAATAGAGATTAGGAATATAATTATCGTAGCTAATATCCACCCCCTTTTCTTCCTGCCCCTCATCCCAGTTGTTCTTTCCTTTTGAGCAGTTTCTTTCCTTTTAACAATGTCTTTTGTACCTGTTGGGCTTTATTTCCTCTTTCAGCTGCTTACACTAGGGAGACAATATGATGTTTACACATGCAGGTCGGATTCATTTCACTTATGAGTGTAGTCTCCAGCTGCCTATAAAAACCTCTAGTTTATTATTTTTTTAATAGCTGAGAAAGAATCAATAACTAGGACCTCATCTTATTGAAAAGTTTTTGCATGTCAAAAGAAACCACCAACAGAGTAAAAAGAAAACCCATGAAGTAGAGATTTTTTAACTTTTTTTTTTACCTCTTGTTGTCTCTTTGGGCACAGTGCCATCATGAATCTCTGACAGGCTCGCAGTTGAGGCTCCCGGCAGCTTTACGTCCTGCTGCCACAGTTTGAGGCTCCGCTTCTCAGTCTTCTTACGCTTGAGGTTCATCCGCAAGTGCGACATGCTCGCGGAGAAACCCAGGTGCCTGGCGCAACTCTCCGGGCCGACGTTGCTTCCTTCTGGGACACACGTGCGCTGCTCAAAAATGCATGAATTAGAAAATAATTTTAATCAACTGTCCCTCAGATAGAGGACTTCAAAGAACATATAAAGAATTTAAAAAATCAGGCCCCTAACATTCAAAGACCTAATCCAAAAATGGTCATCTAAGATTAATACATATTTCTTAGATGAAGAAATAGAGATGGCAATTATGTGAAAAAATGTACAGTATCATTGGTCATTCAAAAAATGCAAATTTAAACAACAGAGATTCCATCTCCAGAAAGAGTGGCTGTTATTAAGAAATCAACCAATAACGAATGCTGGAGGGGCTGTGGGAAAAGGAGCCCTTTTCCAGGTTGGTGGGAGTGCAGGCTGTTACAACCACTGTGGAAATCAGTGTGGAGATTCCTAAAAAAACTAGGATTAGAGGCCCCATTCACCCTAGCTATTTTCCTTTTGGATATTTTTCCAGAAGAATTGAATGAATGCATTTTGAAGGAAAACTTCATTATCTGTGCCAGATGATGCTTGAACTTCATTATTTGAAGGAAAACTTCATTATCTGTGCCAGATGCTTGAACATCTTTCGAACGCTTATGAATCGTATCTTACCTATCATTTATCTTCCAATAGGCCAAGCTGATAGAGTTTAGCCCTCTGAGGGCAACCGATGTGAAGCTCCCGAGTGGAGCAGCGTTTGTGATCGCCAATAGCTGTGTGGAAATGAACAAGGCCGCAACATCCCACTTCAACATCAGAGTAATGGAGTGCCGGCTGGCCGCCAAGGTATGAGCACAGCACACAGCAAATGCCTCGTAGCTTTTCTGGGGCCTTTTTCTGTCTATTCTGTCCTAGTTTGTGGCCTTCCTCATACTTTAAGGCAGCATTCTGGCAGCAACATTCCAATAGAAGGTCTTTGCACGCAGTGACCTGATCCCCAAGACAGGGAACAGAGAAGCCGATGGGCGTGGCTGTGTCCTCTGCCCTCCGGAAGTTGTGTGGACTTCTTGGCTGAGTCTTGCAGAACAGCACCAAGGAGAAGAGGATGGCTGGCGTCAGGCTGTGTGTCAGGTCTACAGGTGGAGAAAGATGCTGGGAGCAGCCGACTGTACTGATGACCGTTGGCCTTGGGTGCCTAACAAGGTCTTGGCAGCTTGACTGCCCTGGTGCCGTCAGAGGCGAGGGCTGCGGCTGGTCACTCGAAAAATACAGATGTGGTTCAGCCCCCTGGCCCTAGAAAGAGGCTGTCCTCACACCTGGTGAGGACACACAGCAGAGGGCTCCTGGGAGCTCCAGGTGGCACACTCAGATGGCCCTTGCCAGTCCAGCTGGGATTTACTCAGGAAGTACTCACAGGGCAGTGTCATACACAATAGCAGGAGGGTGTTCACAAGGCTCAGGACCTAGGAATAGAAGGAGCAGAGGTAAGTTACGGAGGGACCACGTAGGACGTGGTCAGTGTGTGATTAGTCATTAGTGCGTTGAAAAGGCACACAACATGAAACCCTGTGGAAGGTCCAGAGCGCCACAGGAGATCCACAGAAGATCCACAGGATTCCTGTGATTGTGTTCCTACTAAGCTGATGGATTTTACCACCCAATCTTCACCTGCCACAGCCTAGAATCTGTTTTCTCTTGAGTAACAATTTCATACCTTTTTTATTCCTCTCAAACTCTCATTAGCTGGCAGGGCCTGACCGACCTCCCAAGTGATCTGAGCCGCTGTTTCATGTTAGGAATAGATCTGGCCCCACAGACCCGCTACCAACCTGTACGGCTCCCTACATGTGATGTTTTTCAAGGTGTTGGCCACGGCCTTCTCCTTTTCTTTCTTTTCTTCTTTCCTCCCTTAGTCTCATGCCCCCTTGTAGCTTCAGCCTCTAGCTCAGTGCTGATAAATACCTAGTGAGCATCTTTAAGTGTTCCAAATGTTTGGCTGAACTCCAAACTTTATATTCGGCATCTCTGCTTCACTGAATCATAGACCTTTGAGATTGCACATACTCAAGTTGAACTCAATCTTTCTTTCTTTTTTCTTTTTTTTGCTATTACAAAAGTTTATTTAACAAAATTTAATATATGAAAATGTGTATGACCCAATCTTTAGTCAGTGAAAGTAGTGCTTGGAGGAGGGGCATGAATTTTTCTGCTGAGCAGTCATTATTTAAACTCGTTCCAAGGCTTCCAACATGGGGATACTATTTCCTTGTCTTACCACCAGTCCGGTGTTGTTCTGTTGCCCACTAGTTGCCATCTCCACACATTCGTCTATCACAAGAGTCATAAAGGGATCAAATCCTTGCAGTATTCCTTGGACGTGTCTGCCACCATTCAACTTCAGTGATAACTTTTTGTCCATAAAGTTTTCAGCTCGGGACCATGAGCTTTGCTCATCTTGTCTAGTCGGCAGGCTCAGGTATCCTCTTCGAACTCAATCTTTCTGCATGCCTTTGTCTTAGTTACTTTCTCAGTTGCTGAGACAAAGTACCCAACACCTATGAGATAAAGGAAGAAGTTTAGTTTCAGCTCACAGGTTTTCAAGGTTTCAGTTTATCGTCAGCTGGCTCCACGGCAGCAGCATTGCAGAGGAGAGGCAGCCCCTGGCAGTGAAGCAGGGAGGCGGGGCGCGGGGAGCCACAGCATCAGCAGGCCACCCTTTCCCTTTCATCCCATCTGGGCTGTTAGCCTTTTACCCCATTTTTTAAAAGTGTGTTTAGTACAGGGTTCACAGGGTCTTACTACACAGATCAGACTCATGGTGATCCTCCTATTTTCAGCCTCCCAAGCGCTGGGATTACAGTTGTGTGCCACCATGCCAAGTTTTGGTGGCTGACATAGTGCACCTGGGGTCAGTATGGCATGTGGTACTGGAGATCAAATCCAGGTCCTTACACTTGCCAGGCAGGCACTTTGACCACTGAGCTATGTCCCCAGCCTGGCTACAAGCCTTTAGAGGGTGCTACCTATGCCCACAGTGGGGCTTCCACTTACCCACACCCAAAACTATGATGAACCAATGAAGGGACTGATCCAGAACCACACACCCTTCATCTGCATTCACACACCCTAGATCCATTCATCAAATAACAGTTAGGATAACTGTTCAGAAGATTAAATCTGGTCAGTTGCCTTGCTTACCACCTTTCAAAAGCTTGTTTCACTGGATTTAAGTAAGAAGTTCCTATCCCCTCCTGCGAGCCATCAGTGTGATCTGAGGCCTGGATGCCTTCTTGTTGTCCTTGCGTCCCCCACTATCAACCCTGAGACTCAGTCTGAGCTCAGGGCCTTTGCACCCAGCTGGGGTACTCTTTTCCCAGTCTCTTATAAGTGTCAGTAAATGTCCCTCAAGGAAGCCAGCCCTGAACTCAGGGAGGGAGCCCTTATGTTTCATAGAGCTGCATTTCTCAGTTATGGTATTTACCATCGTCCTTTGCCTAACATTCATCTCCTCTTTCCGATTTGAATTTAGCTGAGAGCTGAGATTATGTCCATCTTGTTAACTCTTTTTTAAGGTTTTAAAATTTTTTTCTTTTTTTATTGTGGCACTAGAGATTCTGATCCCAAGGCCTCCTCCATGCTAGGCAAGAGCTGTGCCCCTGAGCTGCGCCTCAGCCCACTGTGTGAACTCTTTTATGGTTGATGTAGAGCTTAGGCCGAAGTAGACACAGGGTGAGCACCTGTTGAATGTAGGAATGATCTCTCTCTGTTTCACCTGCTTATTCTTCTCCTTTTCACACCTTTTTTTTGAACCCAGGATTGAACTCAAGACCTCATACTTGTCAAGCAGGCACCATACTGCTGAGCTATATTCCCAGACTCCATGTGACACTTTTTTTGACAAGTGTTTGGTGTGTGCCACGCTGACCGAGGTGCCATGGAGGTGTGAACAATGGAAGGAGCCCTTGTGTCTGACTCAGCACTTTTCTTCTTCCCCTTACCCCAGGAGAAATAGGGGAGGGGACATATGAGGCCCCACTGAGAAAGGGTTTGTTATTGTTGTTTGTGGAAAACTTGGGAGATGAACCTTGCTTTTAAAGATCAAGATTCACATGTTTTCAATTTGGAAAGTAGTCATTGAGATAATTTCCAAAATTTATGTAGAAAGTTGTAACATTAAGCTTTTCTTAGCATCAGATCAGTACATATATGGACTCCGCAGCATCTCCCCCACCCCGCCCACCGAGTAGGAATTTCTGCCGCATTCCGGGAACACCCAGACCCAGTCCTAGCCCAGGCCCGGTGAGTGTATGGGAGAGCTGCCTCTCCCCCCTACTCCACCTTGTCCCCTCCAGGCTCAGCTCAGGCCTGGCACACAGGCCTGGGGTAAAACCCTGCAGCTGCAATCCCTGCAGAGAGTGTAGAGGATAGAACCACCCAGCTAGTCCAGGAGCAGAAAATCTTGCCAGAGGGGCACAACAGGTTCACCCCCAAGGGCAGCAGCAGGAAGGAGCTGAGCACAGCAGCCAGACCCAAGCCAGGCACAACAGAATAAATCCAAACTTTGTAGATCTACACCTGAACTTCAGTACGTGCTAAGGTTATAACTACAGCGATGATATACAACAAAAGTCAGAAGACAGTGCTACACAAAATGACAAGAAGGAACAAAATGCAACCTCAGAACCCAAGCCTACCCGTAACAAGTGCAGAGGACACTAACACAGAACAAATTGGGAACCACACAGCTGAAAGCAATGAATCAGTGACTTCTGAAATAAAGAAACAGCTGCAGAAAGGTATAGAGGAACTCAGATTGGAAATAAAAAAAGAAATCCCTGAATTAATAATATCTGTAGTAAAGAATCAAATGCAGAAACATATGGAGGAAACCCAGTGCTCACCCAGAACAAGTGCAGAGGACACTAGCTCGGCTCAAATGCATGAATTAATAGCGTCGATAGTAAATAAGCAACAGCAGAAAGTTATAGAGGAACAGGAACTCAGAGCGCAATTCTTTTCTGAAGTACATATATGGAGAAGAAATAGCACAGTAAACTTTTCAACAGCTGGGATTAAATGAACTGTTCTCCTGTCAGAAGGCCTTCCCATTTCAGGAGATGGAAGAGATTAGTGTCTTATTTGCTTAGGGCTTACTGTTGTTGATTCTTTGTCTTGAGGTTGATGAGTAAGCACTCCCTGCCCGAGGACACCTCAGACGTGCATAGTGCTGCTCTCAGAGTGTGAACTCAGTTAGGTGCCTTCTCCCAGAGGCACGGGGAATGGAAGGAAGCAGGAGATGTGGACGTGGGTTCGTGGCATGGCTGCTGTTTTCCAGAGGGCAAGAAGAAGACCACGAACGCAGCTGTGGGGCTGAACCTCAGCAGCCCGAGGCACCAACATCCTGAGCTTAGCTCCCTGTCTCCTGCCTGTAGAGGGACTTTGCTCATGAAATTGGCATCTGAGTTTGCCTTTGGGGTACAGATTCCCTTCAGTTGATGTGGATAAGACACAGTGCCTCGGATATGATATGTTCTTCTCTCTCCTACAATATGGAAGAAAGAGAAGTGAAAGGCCATCACAGTGCAGGATGTTTTGCACAACGTGTTACTTACCGCAAAGCACGGAATCTAAGGTTCTGTACAAAAGTAAAAGAAATGAAAGTTGCTAAGAGCGGCTGCACATAGAGATGCTGATGTTAGGGAAATGCTTTTGCTTAGAAGTAGAGGCTGAAGTTTTGTGAAACTGTGTTGCAGTGGTACTATGTTCCATTTTGGCACCATGTGAATGAATTTGATTTTTTTTTCTTGAAAATGGTCTCATCAAATAAGGAAATAAATTCTCATGTA